TACTATTCAAAATGAGTTTTGGGTAGGAACACAGGCAAACCATATCATTTCATTGCTGGCCCCTCTGATATCTCATGTCCTCACATCTTAATACACAGCCATGCCTTCCCAAGTGTCCTGAAAAGTCTTAACTCATTTCAGCATTAACTCAAAGGTCCAAGTACAAATCCAAAGCCTATACACCCATTCCAAATGTGAGAAATTGGCCACAACAAAGGGGCTACATGTTCCATCCAAGTCCGAAATCCAGCAGGGCTTTCAAATCTCAAAGCTCCAGGTCTCAGTTGACTCCCTGTCTCACACTCAGGCCTTGTTGTTGCAAGAGGTGGGCTCCCATGGCCTTCAGCAGTTCCACCCTTGTGGCTTTTCAGGGTACAGCCCCCCTCCTCGCTGCTTTCATGGCTAGCATTGAGTGTCTGCAGCTTTTCCAGGTGCACAGTACAAGCAGTAGGTGGATCTGACACTCTGAGATCTGCAGGATGGTGGCCCTCTTTCTCAAAGCTCCACCAGACAGTGCCCCAGTGAGGACTCTGCATGTGGGCTCCAACTCCACATTTTCCTTCCTCCCTGCAATAGCAGAGGTTTTCCATGAGGGCCCCACTATTGCAGCACAATTCTGCCTGGACATCCACGCATTTCCATACATCCTCTAAAATCCAGGTGGAGGTTCTCAAACCTAAATTCTTGTCTTCTGTGCACCTGCAGGATCAACACGGCATGGAAGCTGCCAAGGCTTGGGGCTCACACCCTCTGAAGCAACTGCCTGAGCTGTACCTTAGATCCTGTTTGCCATGGCTGAAGCAGTTGAGACACAGGGTACCAAGTCCCAAGGCTGGACCCATACCAGGAAACCATTTTGTCCTCCCAGTACCCCAGGTCTGTGATGGGAGGGGCTGCTGTGAAGGTATCTGATAGGCTCTGGAGGTATTTTCCCCATTGTCTTTGTGATTAACATTAGCTGCCTTGTTACTTAAGCAAATTTCTGTAGCAGGTTTGAATTTCTCTCCAGAATATGAGGTTTTCTTTTCTAGCGCAAAGTCAGGCTGCACATTTTCTAAACTTTTTTGCTCTGCTTCCTCTTGAACAGTTTGCTGCTTAGAGATTTCTTCCAAATGATACCCTAAATCATCTCTCTCAAGTTCAAAGTTCCACAGATCTGTAAGGCAGGGGCTAAATGTTTTCAGTCTCTTTGCAAAAGCATAACAAGAGTCACCTTTACTCCAGTTTCCAGCAAATTCCTCATCTCCTCAGCCTGGATTTTATTGTCCACATAACTGTCAGCATTTTGACTACCTCAGCCTGTGGATTTTATTGTCCACATAACTGTCAGCATTTGGGTCAAAGCCATTCAACAAGTCTCTAAGAAGTTCAAAACTTTTCCATATCTTCCTGTCTTCTGAGCCCTCTGAGTCTCTAGGAAGTTCCAAGCTCTCCAACATTTTTTGTCTTCTTCTGAGTCCTCCAACCTCTGCCTGTTACACAGTTCCAAGATCGCTTCCACGTTTTCAGGTGTCTTTACAGCAATGCCACACTCCCAGGACCAATATACTGTATTAGTCCATTCTCACACTGCTAGTAAAGACATACTTGAGACTGGGTAATTTATATTAAAAAAAAAAAGGTTTAATTAACTCACAGTTCCACAGGGCTGGAGAGGTTTAGAGAAACTTACAATTATGGTGGAATGGAAGTAAACATGTCCTTCTTTACATGGTGGCAAGAGAGAGAAATGCAGAGAAAAGTGGTGGCAGGGGAATCCCCTCATAATACCGTCAGATCTCATGAGAACTCACACTATGATGAGAACAGCATGAAAGTAACCACTCACACAATTCAATTACCTCCCACTGGGTCCCTCTCACAGCACTTGGGGATGATGGGAACTACTGCTCAAGATGAGATTTAGGTGGGGGCACATCCAAACCATATTACTCCTTTTTCTTAATTAAGCGTGAGAAAGATTATCTAAATTCTTCTAGCGTTTTACTGGTCAGATTTAAATCACATGGCCATCATTAAATCAACTTATAGCAAAAGAAATGGAACTCTCTGATTGGCTTAGAATAACTAAGACTCATATCTTATGGTTTGGAATGGGTTTCTTTGGATGAGAGTGGACACTGGACAGCATTGGGACTTTTTTTTTTTTTTTTTTTTTTTGGAGAAAAGGTTGGGGAGGATGGATGTTGATCCAGCCAACAACAAGGCCTCATTCTCCTTTCCATTAATCAAAATTTTATTTCAAATACACATTGCTGCACGAAAATATCTGTATCTGAAAACTCTGAAAGATGATAATCTATACTACTTATATGAAGCTTAATATATAATGCATTGTATTTTCAGTTATAATTTAATATGCACATATTATTATCTCTTAAAATAGATATGAGCTCTCTAAAGGCAAGAATGTCTGTCTTTTCTAATTCTCTTTCAACCTAAGATAATATTCCACACAGGAAAATGAAAAAAGTAAATGCACTAATTAATTGATTGAATTTAAGAAGTGTTTTATATAAATTTATTTTGTGTTTTAAAATTACTTCTCCATATTTCACTGACATTTCAGGAGCTTAAACTTTTAGCATGAATAAAAGTAAACTGAATTGAAGAGGACAAATGGATACCTGAGAAGAAGCTATCTAAAAGTCATACTTACTGTAGAAAAAAATTAAAAAAACAAAAAAAACAGTTTATTTACTGAGAAAATTTAAATATGGGAACATCAAAAAAATGTACAATAGAAAGCTTTGCAATATGTTACAAATTAACACAACAAGTTGCTGCAAGATTTGTCAAATCATATTATTTAATAATTACAGAAACAACCCACTCAATAAATTTAAAAACACAATTAACAGTGATTTTGTTTTCTGTGATGCTTTCAGGAGAGCAACCAAAGCATTAGAACTATCTCAGCTGGTACTAATCCCTTTAGGTGATCTCCTAAAGGCTGACCTTGTAAAAACACATATATTTTTCACTTTTTCTTATAATTTCAGATCTAGCAAAACTTATCTGATTCATTTTTCTCTAGTGAATATACCTGCCAAAGTAACCAGGAATAAATTAGCCAACTAAATCAAAATACAAATCTTTGATGTGATTTGGGCTCACTGCAGACTCTGCCTCCTGGGTTCAAGCGATTCTCCTGTCTTAACCTCCCAAGTAGCTTTGATTACAGGCCCTCGTCACAATGCCCAGATACGTAGTGCTTTTTTGAGTAGAGATGGTGTTTCACCATTTTGGCCAGGCTGGTCTAGAACTTCTGACCTCAAGTGATCCATACACCTCAGCCTCCCAACATGAGAAAATTTTGTGAACCGTGGGAAGATGGAGGACCAAGATGAACATGGTTACTTATAGAGAAGATCTGAAGTGAGCAGCGGGAAAAAGAAGAACCAAATATTTACATATTATATATTTAAAGTCCAAGAGAAACATTTCCTGATGCATTAGGGTAATGGTTATAAAATATGTTCGAATATAACACTTTCAAATGAAAACCTATACAGATCACACATACACAAAGCTAATAAAAGAAGAAATATTATGCTTAATGTTAGGCTATGATCCTGCTTTCTTCTTCCATTCATTAAAGTACCTCCTAAGAACTGAGGATCTCCTGACACATGGAATAGTTCAGTTTGCAAAGTGTGTAAATTCCAGTGAAGCAGGAAGACTCCTGAGATAAAATGAACTCAGTTATAAAAGATAATATAGGTAATTTTGGCAGAAACATAAATCACAAGAGGCTACTAGAATTTGAAAGAAAACTAAAATATTATCAGTAAAAGGTAAATGAAAATTCAATAAAGATCTCCTATTTGCCTTTTAATATATCAATAAAATCATATGTCTTGTATTTGTATTTAAATATTTTTTTTTGAGACAAAGTCTTGCTTTGTTGCCCAAGCTGGAGTGCAGTGGCACAATCATGGCTCACTGCAACCTCTGCCTCCTGGGTTCAAGGCATTCTCCTGCCTCAGCCTCCTGAGTAGCTGGAATTACAAGTACATGCCACCATACCGCCTAACTTTTTTGTATTTTCAGTAGGGACTGTGTTTCACCATGTAGGTCAGGCTGGTCTTGAACTCCTGACCTTGTGATCCACCCGCCTTGGCCTCCCAAAGTGCTGGGATTACAGGTGTGAGTCACCAGTCTAATGTTCTCTGATATAAATGCATTAAAGCAAATGTCACATGGGGCAAAAATAAATAAATAAATACCAGGGCAAAATCCATAACGTGATTTTGCCTACCTATTAACCAAGGTTCCCTGAAGTTTTTCATTAATTCTGAAGAACTCCTGCTATTATAGTCTGAAAAGGAACTGAGAAGACTGAGTATTCCAAGTTAGGAAGAGTTAATGAATTTATTTGCACTATGATACTGTTTTCATAGAATATAAAATAATAAAAACGGCTACATGTATGTATTTTCTAGTACTATAACATATATTTCAGGCTAGAAATAAAAATGTGAACAAAAATATTCATATGTATGAACCACAAACTTATAATTCGCAATGTGTGATTTAGATCTATGTTAAAGCCAGCATTGTAGAAAAAGTGGGCAAAAATATACGGACCAAATTAGATGTAAATATTGGGTACAGCAGTGTAACCAAAAATTAGAAAGATGACAGGTTTACTGAACTATTGAATAGGAAAAGCAACTGAAATTAAAAGTGGAATATTCAAGGGAGAAATCAGCAAGGTATTCAAAAGAAGCTGAGAATTACCCATAAGCCTAGGTTGAAAGGACAAATTAGAGTATTTATCCTTAAATAGCTAATTTTCTCAGAAAGAATAAAACTTTTACTTTCTCCTGTTAAATTGGCTTCCTGGTCATGAGTCCCACGTTGGAAAGAAATGCAACAGCCTTCAAAATAAAACTAACTAAGCATAGAATTGTAATTCTGTAGAACAAGGGTATTTCAAACTGTGTGTGAGTTGTAAAGCTTATGAGTAAAGGTACATTTATCTGCCAAAATTTCAGTGTTGTGTTAAATCCCTAACATTCAGCGCTGGAAGATCTCAGGGGACTGTTATAGACTTTAATCAAAAGAACATTTTGCAGTTTGGTTTAAAAGGTCAAACTGGCTAACTTATCCTTATGCGAGGGTAGTTTAGTAATGGTCTAGTAACTTGGCTCGTGGTTTGTCATGACCTAGATCATTCTGTGGCAATAGGAAATTGATGTGAATACTTTTAGTCTTAACCATAAAAAAAAGCATTAGCCAGGCTTTTGTGTCAACCACAATATAGCAACTCAGAGAAAGTCTAAGAAGTTGCAAATAGGACAGATCTAAGAATATTCAAGTTGTCCTTTCCATAAACGTCTGAATGTAACACAAAAATGTAAACAACAGTCTGCTTCATGTAGAATGAAAAAAATTTGAGAGCAAATGCAGAAAGGTGTTGGTGCATTTGGCTACTGTGTCTGTATTCCTATAAGCCTTGAATATTTTCTCCAATGTGGAAGACAAGAAGCGACCTTTCACACCTCCACTATTTGTATTTCTAAAATGACTTTTTCACAGATACTTGAGGCAGGAATGGATAGTAAATGAGTCATCCAATTATACGGTTAATTAATGAAAACATTGGTACCAGAAAACTACGGAAAATGGTTTATTGTTTTAAAGAACAATGTTCTCAAAAACCGACGTGGGAAGGGAGAAGTCTTGGCTCAGGTAGTTCTTGATTCACTGCTTATGTGAGTATAGTTAACATAACATCTGAGTTCTTTCTGTGGGTCATTGGACAGATAGTGCTAATAAATGAGCTAGCACAAAGATTATTAGATAATCAGGACATTGCTGAAATCAGGTTAATTCCTTGCAGTGCTATATGTAAAAGCAAGGTACTGGTTTTGGTTTCATTTTCTTTTGACTTTTTTAAATTATATTTTTTAATTGACACAAATTTTAATGGTACATATTCATGGGGTACATAGCAATATTTCCAAACATAGAATTTATAGTGATCAGATCAGGGTAATTAGCATATCCATCATCTCAGACTTATATTATTTATTTGTGTTGGGAATATTCATTGTCATCCTATAGCTATTGGAAACTACATACTACTATTAACTATGTCATCTTACGGTGGTATAGAATACTGAAACTTATTCCTTCCATCTAGCTTTAACTTTGCATTCTGTAACAAGTCTCTCATTTTGTAGGTGTTAGTAACAGTGGTTACATGATTTTATTATCTTTTTACAAATGCTTGGAACATACAGGTGGATAAATTCTTCAGATCAGCACATCATGGTAGTTTTAAAGATATGTCCACAGACTCTCTGATATTTCTTTCCTCAAGACCTGGAACTTAACTCCCTTCCACTTGAGGGTAGGCTGGTTTCAGTGACTTATTTCTAGAGAAGAAAATATCATCTTATTCCAATGATGGGATTCTAAAAATACTTTATAGCTTCTTATGTTGACTTCTCTATCCCTCTCTTTCTGTCTCAATGTCTGGCTCTGGGGGAAGCCAGCTGCCATTATGTGAGGATGCTCTGCAGCTTACAGAGAGGCAAGGCAAGGAACTGGGGCTTGTCAGGATTTGTCTGACCTTGCAAACAAGTATTGCCCTCGTCAAGCCGTGAACAGATTGTAGCTCTGACCAACAGCTTGATTTGAAGTTCATGAGAGCCCATGAGCAAGAACTTCCCAGTTGAACTGCTCTTGAATTCCTGATCCCCAGAAACTATGAGACAATAAACATTTGCTATTTTAAGCCACTTATTTCAAGTAACTTGCTATGCAGGAATAGATAATTTATGTGTATACAAAATGCAATTAGGTTAAAACTAATACTGTACATATATGCATATTTATATAATTTCCAAAGACTGTATGTGAATAAAGAGGAAAAATGTTCAAAGGTTCAAAGACAGTGATAAGGCTGGGCGTGATAGCCCACGCCTATAATCCCAGCATTTTGGGAGGCCAAAGTGGGTGGATCACGAGGTCAAGAGATGGAGAACATCCTGACCAATATGGTGAAACCCCATCTCTGCTAAAAATATAAAAATTAGCTGGGCATGGTGGTGCGTGCCTGTAGTTCCAGCTACTAGGGAGGTTGAAGCAGGAGAACTGCTTGAAACTGGAGGCAGAGGTTGCAGTGAACCAAGATCCCACCACTGCACTCCTGCCTAGTGACCGAACGAGCTCTGTCTCAAAAACGTAAATGAAAACAAAAGACAGTGATAAAATATTCTTAATCTTCACATTAAGCAAAGGAAGTATTTACCTGATTTTCATTTAAGAAAATTAAAGAGGTTTTTGGATTTAAAAGACTCTTTTAATTTGCTGGACCCTGAAGGCTGAGTTAATTTTAAGTAGGAGAATGATATAAGAGTGGTTATCTGTAAAGCGAACAGGTTACTTTAGTCTTTTTTTTTTTTTTGTACATATTTAACTAGGCCATCAGGGTTAAAAGAAAATGTTTCAATAACAAGAGCAAAACAATGGGAAAAAGTCTATCTAAATATATTTTAAAACACGGTTTTACATGACTGCTATTGATGGGTATACTTCATTCCAAATTCTTTTTTACTGTTATTTTACTAATATTTTGCAGTTATACAAGATTATTAATGACCCATACCAAGGCGAACAATTTTAGTTGCATGAATATATCACTGGGAATCTAGGCACTGGCCTGTTGAGCAATCTGGAGAGAAAGAAGAAGACGGAAAGCAGAGACTGAAGAACCTTTTCTCCTTCCTTCTGCCATTTCTTTCTTCCTTTATTTCCTTCCAGAAGCCTGTCACATAAAGTGGCCACAATCACATCTTGTAGAGCAGACCTCCATTTATCTCTGTGACATAAACAGGAAACTTTTGATTGAATAGAAACAAAAGTCAAGCATGTGATTAAAGGAATCATTTCTAGTAATAAACGCACATTGCTAGGATGAACACCACCTAAAACCACCATCTATAATATTGAGTTTCAAAACATAATATTAAGTTTTAGAAAATTCTTTTATAACCTATCATCTCTCTTAATCTATTAAATATTCTCATTCTTCTAAAAAATAATAGCAGCTCCTCTTGTCAGGCACATTCTAGCTTTTTAGTGCAAACTGTCTTATTTATTCATTACAAAATCTCCTATGAGATTGATATGATTTGGCTCTGTGTCCCCACCCAAATCTCATCTCAAATGGTAATCCCCACTTGTGGAGGGAAGGACCTGTAATCTCCATGTGTTAAGGGAGGGAGGTGACTGGATCATGGGGGTGGTTTCCTATGCTGTTCTTGTGATAGTGAGTGAGTTCTCACAAGATCTGATGGTTCTATAAGTGCTTGACAGTTCCTCTTTCACTTCCTCTTCTCTCCTGCTGCCTTGTGAAGGAGGTGTCTGCTTCCCCTGCACCATAATTAAAAGTCTCCTGAGGCCTCCCCTGCCACATGGAGCTGTGAGTCAATTAAATCTCCTTTGTCTATAACTTACCCAGTCTCAGGTGGTATATTTGTAGTGGTGTGAAAATAGACTAATACAGAAATAGAAATTATAACAACTTTTTAAGGATAAACCTAAATGTTAAAAAATAGGGCAAGATGGAGCCAGGCATGGTGGCTCACACCTGTAATCCCAGCACTTTGGAGGGTCAATGCGGGCAGAACTCCTGAGGTCAGGAGTTTGAGACCAGGCTGATCAACATGGAGAAACCCCGACTCTGCTAAAAATACAAAAATTAGCTGGGCGTGATGGTGAATGCCTGTAATCTCAGCTACTTGGGAGGCTGAGGCAGGAGAATCACTTGAACCCAGGAGGCAGAGGTTGCAGTGAGCCGAGATAATGCCATTGCACTCCAGTCTGGGCAACAAGAGTGAAACTCTGTCTCAAGGAAAAAAAAAAAATAGGGCAAGATCGTAACAAGTAAAGGGTTTTATTTCTTGTCTGTGCAGCCAGAGTCTATGTTTGTTATAAGATTCTAATCTGTCTCACACACTGAATCAAGGGAAAGTACAGAATGTGGATTACCAAACCTGGGTTCTATTTATTGTTGATCCACTAGGCACCTTGATGTTTCAAGTAAACCACTGAACAGGTGCAGGATTCTGCTAGTTCCTTGAAGTGCTTACATATTTGTTTTAATTTTTAAGAAGAACTGGTCATTAAAATAATCAACTTCAATATTTTCAAATCAGATTTTTGTCATGTAAGGTATCTAGAAAGAGCTCAATGAAATAAATTGGTCATGCCTCTGTGTAAAGTGTTATGTGAAAATTTTCTTTCAGAATTATAGAGCCCTCCAAACAATGTGTGTCTTGTAAGGTGAGCAAGAAAACATGGCTACAGTTTTTAAAATAAAACCATAAAACAGTGAAAAGATTTGAATGCACTATTTAGAAGTCAATGTGATTTAATCACATATTCACCCCTCTTACAACTCTGTAATTCCCATTAGATTTTTCTGTCTTGATTCATTATTTTGTTTAATACATTTTATTTTTATTAATGGATTAAACAAAATAATGTTTTATATAGTTTACATAAAAATATACAATCATATACATCTTTATAATAATTTACTGCTTCAGCTAATATATGTTTAACGCATAATACCCCCAAAATCCTTTGTAAAATGAAGATGAAAACAAATAAGTTATTTCTTCCCAGTTTTTAACTTATCAACACAACCTCAGACCCAGTCATCTGAACTATATTTAGCAATATTACCTAATAATAGCTCTACAAATCAATCATACTATGAGAAACATAATAATTCAATCAGAGTGGTTCTTTTTAAGTATACAAGTTAAGAAACGTTTCTAGATTTTTCATTTTTGAAACACATCGTTTAGTTTAAGGCTGTGATAACACCTTTAGTCACTCCTCAAATTAAAGCACATATACGCACACATACATTCACAAACATAACATTTGTATCTGTTTACATAAGCCTTTTAAATTAAGTGAAACACAAATCAGTGAAAGCAGCTACCTGGCACAGTACAATCAAAACAGCTGGCGGATTGATTAGGTTTTACCATCTGTAATTAACTATTGTATATGTATAGCTTCAAAATTAAAATGCTCAAAGAATATAAAAGAGATGCAAACTGTATGCTCTCATTTAGTAAACAACTTTAATTTCATGCCTTTTTGCTGTATTGTTTGGAAGTTCTTTAAAGGGAGTGTATTATTCAAAAACTGTTCATTTTAGCCTGTTGCTTCAGCTATGTGGAGAGTGTGTAACAAAATACATACAAATATGCAAGTTATTGCTGTTTTCTAATTTATGGAAAATTGCTCTCTGGCATAGCTTTTCTGCCCACTGCATGTCCTTAGATGTATAGTATAATATATGCAGTTAATATTCATCCATGAAAAATAAAATTTAAAAATAATGATAAATTAAACCCAAATGTTTACTTCAAACTTTTTAGTTTTATTTTACTTTTCATGGAAAAGTAGTAATGGTACATATTGGGATACAATATGATGTTTTCATATATGCATATATTTTGTAATGATCAAATCACGGCAATTAGCATATTTGTCACTTCAAACATTTATCATTTCTTTGTGGTGAGAAGACAAAATCCTCTCCTATAGCTATTCTGAAATATACAATTCATTATTATTAACTGTCACTCTACCTTGCCATGGAACATCAGATCTTATTCCTCCTATTTAATAGTAACTTTGTACTCATTGACTATCATCTCCCCTTTGCCCTCCTACCCAGCTTCCCAGCCTGAGGCAACCACCATTCTACTCACTACTTCCATGAGTTCAGTTTTGTTTAGATTTCACATGTGAGTGAGATCATGCAGCATTTGTCTTTCTGTGCCTAGCTTATTTCATTTAACACAATGTCCTTCAATTTCATTGCTGTTGTCACAAATGACAGAAATTCCTGTTTTTGTAAGACTATATAATATTTTATTGTGTATATATACATTTTAAAAATATATTCATCCGTGGATGGACACTTCTATTATTTCCATATATCAGCAATTGTGAATAATACTGCAAGGAAGATGAAAGCACAGACATCTCTTGGCCATATTGATTTTAACTTCTTTGAATTTATACCTAGTAGTGACATTGCTGGAACATATGGTAATTCCATTTTTAGTTTTTTGAGGCATATTTCTTCTGTTTTCCAAAATGGCTGAAGATATACATAATTAACACATAATTGTTACAGTATTATTCTGAATCTGTTACCAGTAAGTTTTACACTTTTAATTTTTTTTTACTCAATAACATTTTTTTATTTCAGCTTGAAGAACTAGCTTTATCATTTCTTGTAAAGCAGTCTAATGATGATAAACTAAACTCCTTTAGCTTTTGTTTTTCTGTAAAAATCTTGACCTTTGCTTTATTCCTAAAAAAACAATTTGTTAGATAAAGTATCCTTAGTTCAGAGGTTTGTTTTTCCTTCAGCACATTAAATATAACATCTCAATCTCTCCCTGGCCTGTAGTATTTCTGCTGAGAAATCTGCTGATAGTTATGTTGGAACTTTCTTGTATCTGATATGTTTCTTATAACTTACTGCATTCAGAATGTTTTATTTGTGTTGGGTTTTTGAGAGTTTGATTATTATGTCTTGGTGTACTTCTCTTTGGAATGGATTTTATCAGAGATCATTGTTTTTCCTGTACCTTAATGTTGGCATTTACTCTTAGATTAAAGAAGTTTTTGGTCACTATTTCCTCACATGCGCTATCTGACCCTTTTTCTCTTTCTTCTCATTCTACAAATTCTATTATGCAAAAGTTTAGTCTCTTAATGGTGTTCTTCACCATTAGGCTTTCTTCATTCTTTTTCTCTATTTTGTCATTTTTCTCCTATGACTGGATGGTCTGTCCATCTCACTGGTTCTGACATATTAATCCAGTCTTCTCTTGAAACTTCGTGTTAAAATTTTTAGTTCAGATGTTGTGATTTTCATCTCTAGAATTAGTACCTGGCTCTTTTTATTGTTTCTATTTTTAAATTGATCTTCTATCTTCTTTTCTTGTATTGTTTTCCAAATTTCATTATTTTGTATGTCTACATATTCCTGTCACTCACTGGACTACTTTAGGAGTATTATTCTGATTCTTTTCAGTTATTTCACAAATCTTCATTTCTTTGGTATTCATCATTGGAGCCTATTTTTTTATGGAAGCGTCATGATTCCCTGGTTCTTTGTAATCTTTGTGTTTTTATGTTGTTGTCTGTACATTGTAAGAGATGGTTTTCTTTTCTGGCCTTTACAGGAGTTCTTTCACAGAAACAGAGCCTCACTACTTTGTTATTTTCATTTTTGAGACAGGATCTTGCTATGTCATCCAGGCTGGAGTACAGTGGCAATCACAGCTCACTGCAGCCTCAAACTCCTGAGGCCCAAGCAATCTACTCTCCTAAGCCTCTTGAATAGCTGGGACTACAAGTGCCCACCATCATGTCTGGCTTTTTTTTATTATTATTATTATTTAAGGGAGACAGAGTCTTATCATATTGCCCAGGCTTGCCTTAAACTCCTGACTTCAAGCAATTCTCCCACCTCTGCCTTCAAAAGATTATAGGCACGACCCACCATGCCCAGCCCAGAGCTTCACATATTTAGTCTCGCTTGTGATTCTGGAAGGGCTAGATACTGAAAACCCTAGGCAGGCAGAGCTTCCTGTGAGTTCTCTAGTTGACTGATCTACTGCCTTTGTTCTGTTGTCAGAGCAAGCTACTGACTGACTTTACCGACAAATGAGACCATTTTCTGTCAGGTGAAGCTACTGGCTTCATCTGGGATTTTCTGTCAGATGAATCTACTGGCTTCATCTGGGATTTTCTGTCAGATGAAGCTACTGTCTGGATAATACAATGGCTTCTGGTTAGTTCAGTCCCAAGATGTATTCCTGGCTGGAAAATTCTGCTATTTGAAATCTGCAGTGAGACAGGACTGCAAGTTGAACACAGAAGTTAGGCAGAGTCACAACCCTGGACAAGTAAAAAGACCTGAGGCTACACTACTTAGTATGGGAATATAAAACTGAAGAATTTTCTACCTATCTGGGTGGAGCCATGAAGTAGACTTCCAACTGAGTTTAGTGTCTCATTCACTTCCCAGATCGTGTAAGACTAGCCCTTGTGTTTCTCCAAAATAGAGAAAGGTGGAAATATTCCTTCCTGATTGGAATCATTGGGTGGGCTTTTTGGCTGTGTGGAGCTGTGCTACTTGTTTTCCCTGGTCAGGCCCAGTTGACCTCTTCACTTCTCAGAAATAAGTGAAGCTGTGTGTTTCCCTGACTGGGCAGGGTTGTTCATGTGGGTTCTGAGGCTGAGCCTGGAGACCAGCAGTCTAGGGCTTCAAGTTAAATTGTACTTCCCACTGTGCTTCTGAAGGGAACCTGCTTAACTCTGTGGGCATGCCATGAGGCTGCTGACATCCCTGATCGAGCAGCACAGGTGTCAGGAAAACACAGCTAC